CACCTTTTCACCAGAACCGGAGGAGATTGCCTCGGAAACCGCGTCAACATGAATTTTCCAGTAAAGCCAATCGGCAGTTGGTCAAGAGGAATCCGCCGTCGTGTTCTGGTGGAACCGACCTTCGAATCTTTCCACTCAACACTTCTACTCGAAATGGAAGTAAGCTCAAAAATTAAGCACGGTAAAACAAATTGTAGCAATGAATGTGTGATAGGAGGATATAATAAATGTGAGCAGCCCAGGGCAGAAGGGGAGATAGCAAAACTGTTTAGCACACGTTTGGTCAAAGCATCGGCTTTACTTGTATCTTTGACGAGCTGTTGTGCGGTGCTAAGAATGGCGATACTTACTGACGATGCCGGCGAAACGTTTAAGAATGTACCACTTTCAAGGTTCGACTTTGGAAATGATGATGCATACAATGGACTCCGAAATGTGTCTTTCTACCAATATAACTGAGTTGCGATAACAAGGTCAAACAACCTCTATACAACGAAAGGAGACAGCGACCACACAAAAGGCCACACCATCTTGGTCTTCATACCTTAAATTACTTATTGTTCGTTTGTAAGTAGGGTTTGGAGACTACCAGTAAATCAGAAATATGAGATGCATTCACCCTATTTCTGGGTAGGGGGGTTGATAAGACCTGGAAAAGGTCGAAACTTTAGTCCACCCTTTATGAGAATATCTCATGGGGTGTAAGGTCTACTCATAACGTTGTTGAAACATTCAACCTAAAAACGAAATGGGATGTACACATCTCATAGATCTGCTGAACTGGTGATCTCAAAAGCCTGATTACAAACAAAAAATGAAGGACGATAACCGTCAGTACTTCCAATTAATTTGCAGTTAGTGCCGGCTGAGAGTAGTGAGGTGGGAGAGGGTGGGATGGAGGAAGCAACCAGGCGATAGCAACCAGAAGCCTGGCAAAAATGGCTCATTTTTCCTAGGCCATCATGTGAAATGCGAACTTTTCTACGACAGTTTTACACTTAGCAGCATGCCGCTTGTGCATGCCCGCATAATCTGACATTTGACGATGAGGTTAAAGAGAAAATCGAGTTTGGCCCCAAAACAATCACGACGAATGGGAGTGAATGTGTTTGGGCAACCAAGCCTATGCGCCCAGGGAAGGAGAAAGCAATGGAAGGGCAGAAGGAACCAACGCTTTGCTGCCCGTGCTGCTGGGCGTCCTGGAGAGGCGTGTTGTCTCCACGGGGATGCGATGATTGTGGCCAGAATGGATGGTACGAGGCGTGGATGTCAGGGCCTTGGTGGAGTTGGTGTGGGCACCAGAAGAAGAGGGGGGAAGTCCTGTCTCGGGCAGGCGATGCCCGTTCCAATTCGGCTCGGAGGAGGATGGAAAAAGGACTGGAAACATAAAATAAAAGACCTTGTATTTCGAGAAACTGGTGAGTGTAAAGTGA